TCCATGGTAAAAGACCAAATGGGCACTGATGCAGGTGGGCACATGGATGTGTGTGGGGTGTGAGAAGGTGTGGAAGTTTTCTTTGATTGTTTTCTCAGGGCAATTAAAAACACACTAATCAGCTGGGCATAAGAATGATAAAGCTCACAGTTTTTGTCAATGTTCTATGAATATAAAAATACATTCTTTATTCAAGGCATATAAACTTTTCTATATGCTTCTTTATATCATTCAATTTATGTATTCCTTTTTTAATCTCTTAAAGTTAATTCTGACACAAATGTATTGATATTTATCACAAATTTGTATTTATCAAGTTCTTAAACTTATGCATCTTTGCTGTATATATTCAACAGGCTTGACACCATTGTACTTCTTCAAAAATTGTGCCTTTTATCAGCATATAAAACCTCTCTCTAAAATATTTTTTAAGTTCAATGGACATTTATTTATTTATTTATTTATTTATTTATGTATGTATGTATGTATGTATATGTGATGCTGAGAATAGAACCCAGTGCCTCACAAACTAGCTAGGCAAATGCTTTAACACTAAGCTACAACCCAGCCCCCTCTCATTAGGTCTTAACCTTTTAACTAGTTGAAATTTCCCGTCTGTTTGCCTGGTATCTTTCTTGTAAAACATATCTCACAATGTTTCTTATAAACAGCATAAGTTTGGTTTTTATTGTTTGACTCAGTCTGATAGATTCTGCTTTTATATAGAAAAACTCAGTTGTTGGGCAGGCCCAAGATAGCTACAATTACGTTCCTTGCCAAGACTTCCAGCAAGTTATGTTTTTAGTAGGTAGTCAAGATCATAAATACACGGATTCAGCATATGTACTCAAGGTCATAAACATCTATTTGTGAGCATGTATTCATTCATGTAACCTGTTGGCATTTTCCCTTTTGGTTGGCCTGCATATTAATAAAGGCATATGGAAAGACCCAGGAGGCTGGGTTTGCTGCTGCCTTCAAATAAAATGTGTTTACTATCCCAACTAACCTTCCAGGATCCCAAATCTGTTTCCCAGGGCCTGAGCCCCTGCTAAACATCAGTCCTATCATAATTAGCAGAATGGTTTATTACATTACTTATGTATATTACCTTATTTATTTTATATCATAACTTTCCTCTGTTACTCAAAATTTTTTTGTGGGGGTATCTGTTTTTAGTTTGTTATTTGTTTATAGTCCTTTCATTAATTGCTTCCTTATATTTTAGGGAAACTTGAATGAAACGAATTCAAATTCTTACAAATCCTCAAGTAGTTCTTTTATCATGACAGGTGATGATAGTTTGGTTGATGTACTGTTTAGTTTACTAGTCTGTATTGCTATTAAACAGTATTCTGGCTTCTTAAACTACAAATAAGAAGTCCAATATCATTTTTCTTTTTAGATAACTTACCCCTTTTTTTGAAGTTTATTAGTTTTCTTTTTCACCCTAGAGTGTAGGAATTATACTTTGATACATCTAGCTTGCCTTTACTTATTAATCTAGACTGAAAATGTAATGAGTTCTGTAGATCTACAGATTTAGGCCTTTCAAAAAATGTCAAACTAATAAGAAAGTTTCCATTATTTTGTTATTCATTTGTTTTTTCACTTCTACCAATTCCCTTTTCTCTTTCTGGAAATTCTGTATCTGTACATTAGATCTCATAGATAAGCCTTTTATCTTTTTTTTTCTTGATTTCCAACCTTTTTTCTCTCTGCCCTTCAGCAGTTATAGTTCCTCAGATACACATTCTATTTGTTTCTCTGACAACTGGGTCTTCCTAGGGTTGATTGGTTGGTTGGTTGGTTGGTTGGTTTTGTTTCATTTTGTTAGCCAGTTCACTGAGGTTCAAGTCTGGTTAATGGAATATTTTAAGTAGAAGCAGTTCCACAAGGGAAGACAAAGAGATCTCTGCTTCTATCAGCCATTGAACAGGAGCATGAACCTGCCAGTTTTCTACAAAAGCACTTGGATCCCTCTTGCTCTATAGTTTTCTTATAATCTCTCATACTCAGCACAGGAATAGTTAGCCTACATGTGCAGATTCTTCTTGGTGTTGTGGGAGTCAAAGAATCCCAATAGATTTGTACAAATCTCCTAGAATTTCCACAGATCTGAGGTTCAGATGTTTTTCAAGAAACATTACATTTAATTTCTAACATCTTGGCTCTCATGTTGTTCACATTTATATCCTTCCCAGAGGGATGGAGACCCACACTAGGTTTCTAAATTCATGCTCTAATTCCAAGGTTTTTCTCTATAAGACCCACTTCCCTGGTTTAGTTGAAGCTGATAACTATGATCAGGCAGTGGAGAAGCTCATTCAAGTAGGCATTCCTTAAGATCTCTGAAAACTTCCACATCTATCTTTAACAGAGATGTTATTGACTTTATGAAATGGGAGACCCATTCACTTTCATTTATATGAAAAAGTCCTGATTTTCTCCAAACTTGGCAAGAACACATTATTAATGCACCTGGAGGCAAAAGGCCATGATTATTGTTCTTAATCCATTAGCAGTTGGTCGTTTGAAATCCTAGGTTTCACTTCTCTCTCAAAAAGAGTTTTAAATTGCTCAAAGTCCAGTTACAACTCTCATATCCTCTGATATAAAATAATTTAGTCTTAAAGCACACTATTTTTAAAAAATGAAAATACAAGTCAAACAACATCAACAGCTAATATTTGGTGTTTGTATATGCCAGAAATGATGAAAAGTTAACTATATAGATCAGCCATATTATTTTTAATAGTAATGACTAATATGCTATGGTTGAAAGTAGAATAGTAGAAGAGCCCAACTCCACTGTTTGTTCTTACTGGTCAATGTGCATTTAGGACTTTATCAATTATAACTGTTTTGCTACATTGAAATCTTCATCTTACATATGAGAAGACTGAAGGTGAGAGGTTAAATTACTTGCCCATACAACCTAGTGAATTACAAAAAGAGGTTGTGAAGTCAAGTTTGTTTATTTATTTATTTATTTAATTAGTTACACATGACAGCAGAATGGATTTTGATTCATAGTACACAAATGGAGCACAATTTTTCATTTCTCTGGTTGTACACAAAGTAGAGTCACACCATTCATATCTTCATACATGTTTTGTTAGAAACAAAGCTCTAATTGCTAAACTTGATGTTCAAGGCAGAGAGAGGTCCATGCAAAATGATTTTCCAAATGTGGTCAATGAAGTCTTAAGAAATTCAAGTGCTCATTGTGGTGGGACACAGGCAGGCAGACTCTCGGTCATTTACTCCTATTAAACATTAAACTATATAGTTAAAACTTAAAAGTGCTTGCTATGTACCAGGAACTGGTTTAATCATTTTTTGACTATGCTCTTTATTTTTCTTCTTTTTTAAATTTATATATGGCAATGGAATGCATTACAATTCTTATTACACACATATAGAGCATAATTTTTCATGTCTTTGGTTGCATACAAATTATATTCTTGTTTAAGCATTTTAACTACACTAAATAATTTAATCCTAAGAGGCCTGTGTTGCAGCCAAGGTTCATCAATAATAATTGATTTACTCAGATTAGAATGCAGGGAATTCTTTGCTTTTAATGACAACTTTACCAAAGCTTCCTTGTCTAGTAAAATGTTTTAATACTACTAATCAGATCCAGGGCTGAAGAGAGAGAGAGAGTTTAAGGAAGCAAAAACATTTTCATAATATATCACACTCAACTACCTAGTAAAAGAGCATGCGCAGACTGAGGCTGGGGCTGGGGCTCAGCAGTAGAGCACTTTCCTGGCATGTGTGAGACACTGGGTTCCATTCTCAGTACCACATAAATATATAAAATAAAGGTCTATCAACAATTTTTTAAAAAATTAAAAATAAAAAAGAGCATGCACTTCCAAGTCTTTCTGAGGTCCCAGGACACCGAGAAGGGGTTCCTTTCCACGGGTTCATCTCAGCCCCACTTTGCCTCCAACCTCAAGATTAGGCATGAGATTGGCTACTGGGATGCCAGTTCCTCCAAGGGCACGACAGTGGGCGCAACCACCTTTCGCCAACCAGAGCGATCCTACAGCATTTCCTAGGGTTTAGGCTGAGGGGTTACGCATTTGTAGTCTGTGAGTATCCCAGGACTATTCGAAGCCAATGACCCCATTTCCCGGAAACCTCAGCCATGCCCCACTTCCCGGGACCTTCTGCATCCAGAGGCTCCATCCAAGTTTCAAAAGCGCCAGAGGATACCGTCTTTTCGCGCGGGAATAAGAACTGCTAGAAGTTGAGCTACGCGGCTGCTCGATCTTTCTGGCCAATCAGGAGCCACGTCTTCCAGCGCGCTCCTCTCCCACCCCGCCCCTCTTGTATCCTTGGAAACGCGGCTGAGTCAACGCCTTGGAAGACACCGGACTTCCGTTTCGATCTAGCCGGGCTGCGCCATTGTTTGCGTGGACTTAGGGTTTTGGACCCTCCGGGTGTTCCTTCAGAGGCTCCGTAAGTGACGCGGACTCTCGAGAAGGCCGAGCCAGATGTGGACAAGGGCGGGAAGTGCGGTGGCTGAAGGAAGAGTGGCAGAAAAGTAGAGTTGGGCCGAAACACGACTCCGACTTAGAAACATTGGCGACACCCCGGTATAGGTGGGTTACTCCTAGCTCCTCTCGCCTATTAAGGATTAAGGAAGGAAGAGGGCAAAAGGCAGCTTGGCCTCGTGGTCGGGTGCTGGGTTGGGAGGTGTTGGGGCGAACTCGGCCGGGGACCTGGATGCACATCAGAGGCCTGCGGGTCTTGCTGCAGGAGCCGAGGCTTCGCGGATCTGTAGCCCCGAGATCCCGCTCCTTGAGTACCATTGGTGCAAGTGAAGGGTTGCTACCCAGCTCGGCCGGTGGCGCGTTGGTGGAACTCCGATGTCTCATCTTGGTACCTGAGTGAATAGTTTTTTTCTCTTGAGAGAGAGGGGGTTCTTAACTAATTGCCGTTCTTTTTTCCCAGAGACTTACCCGTGATCAGCAAGGAAGAACCTGAGTGGTAAAGGCTCATGCCCCCACTTTACAGGTGAGGAAACTAAGGCCTTGGAAAGTGTAGAACTTGGATCTTTTTATAAAGTTCTAGAAATGGTTGATAGCAGAGTTGAGATTATAATCATATTCTGGAAGGTCTAGATCTTGATCCTTCTCCAAAATTCCAGTTTCCTTTGTGATAGATAGTAAATCTAGTATTTTGTTGTAATAAGTAAGAGAAGGCAATGGAATTATTTTTTCCTTAATTTAACAAAATATGAGCAATACTCTAAAAACAGAAAGAAGACTTTTACATGTGCTGCTATTATTTACTTTATGATCTTATATTAATAATTTATATAAATAAACCATATAATAATACATGTAATTAATAACTAATTTAATAATGTTTAAACAGGTTAGTGAGTATGTATGCATATTAAGTATTAGATAAAAGGCTATAAGTAAACACATCTAAATGTCAATAATGGCTGCTTATGGTTCATGTTGCACAAGAATAAGTAACACATTTAATATGAATACTCCTCTATACTATGGCTTCATTTTGTACATTTATACTCCCCTGCAATAAGTTTGGTTACCTAATTTGTCCCCTCTAATTCTACCTGAGACTAAATGATGATTTTCCTGTAAATCTGAGCTACTGTTGCTGTGTTTTAAGTGCCATTCATTGTGGTACAATTTAATGTGGATAACTCCATATATTATTAATTTCTCCCTGGAGAGACCAAACTGTGAAATCAAATTTTGTTTTTCATGTCTAGAGTTTTATCCCTTAGTGTCTCTAGACGCTTAGAAGCATCAAAGTGCCAATTTTTATAGCTCTGCTTTCTAATCCTTGAAGGGGAACAGGAATGTTTCTGGGCTTTTTTGGACCTCTTTGTAGGAGATTTGGGAGTCATATTTACTTACTATGTGGGGAATTTAGTGCTATGCACTAAATTTTTCATTCCTTCTTTCCTCACCCACCTACAGCCTAGTTGTCTCAACATTCCACCCATTCCCAGAAGAGAAGAACAAAGGAGAAACAGTTGTATGCTGTCTTCCTCACAATTTGATCTCAGGTAAATAGGATTGTCTTTTCTTACTTATAAAATGCCCTGATTCTTCATAGGTAATGGAGGTAGTAGAAGTAGCAGTGAGGACGCATGGATCAGATTGCTTAGAACATGTTACTCACTTGCAGAAAGGCTTCCAAGCCTCCTATGCAGCATGCCCATGCCTCCTACCCAGGGGTTTTTACCAACATTAACTCATTCCTTCATTCAGTCATTCAAGTTCAGGCTACATATCATTTGTATTGTTCTTAGTGTTCTGAGATAAATATATTAGAATATCTTTACACTGAGTAATTTAAACCAGGAAATTAATAATATATGGAGTTATCCACATTAAATTGTATCAGAATGAATGGCACTTAAAATACAGCAACAGTAGCTCAGATTTACAGGGAAATCATCATTTAGTCTCAGGTAGAATTAGAGGGGACAAATTAGGTAACCAAATTTATTGCAGGGGAGTACAAATGTACAAAATGAAGCCATAGTATAGAGGAGTATTCATATTAAATGTGTTACTTATTCTTGTGCAACATGAACCATAAGCAGCCATTATTGACATTTAGATGTGCTTACTTATAGCCTTTTACCTAATACTTAATATGCATACATACTCACTAACCTATTTAAACATTATTATGTATGCATACATATAAACATACACATATATATAAATACTACACATAGGTTTATCTAAGGTACATGTATACAGAAGATGAATATTTATAAAAAATTTTATTAAAAATTTTTCAGGAAGGCAGGGAATATTCCCAGTGTATAGAACTGGACCTTGCATGTGTGTTCAATAAATATTTGCTAAGAATGAGTGACTATTATTTGTATATTTTTTTCATTTAACATACAATGAGCAATTTTTCTAAGCATTTCTTAGTAGTACGAGTTTTAATGACGATATAATATTTAATTCAAGATATATACCATTCTTTATTTAAATATTCTTTTATAAGGGAAAATTTAAGTATGTCTTATTTTGCTATTATAAACCACTTCTAATTAATATTCTTATACAAAATTTATTAAACACATGTCTTTTTTACTTTCTTAAGATATACTTTGAGAAATAGGAAAATAGTCAACAGATATAAATATGTTTTAGGCTTTTGAAAACCTAAAGTTCTTTTTTAGAAATATTGCTTGAGGGGCTGGGGATGTGGCTCAAGCGGTAGCGAGCTTGCCTGGCATGCGTGCGACCCAGGTTCGATCCTCAGCACCACATACCAACAAAGATGTTGTGTCCGCCAAGAACTAAAATAAATAAATAAATAATTAAAAAAAAAGAAATATTGCATGAACTTAAAATTGCATGACAATTTGATCCTAATTTGCTCAACTTTTACCAGCATTAGATATTATTTTTAAAACTTTTCTTTCATTTGCATTCTCTTTAATCTTCAGTAAGGTTTACTATTTTTTCACTTATATTTATTGACAATTTGCATTTTTTTTTATGAAGGGTCTATTGACATATATTACCTTTATCCCTACTAACCTTTTTGTTTCCATTTGATAGTAGGTAGTCTTGTATATATAAAAAAAAAAATCATTGTAAATATTTCTCTTACTTTACCATTTGCCCTTTACTTTCAGGGGCTTCTTTGTTTAAATGAGCTTTGAATTTATATAAAGCAAAATATTATGTTTATATTTTTATGCATTGAAATATATTTTTATTTCCAAATTTAATATGTACTTTATTTCCAAACTAATATATAATTACTTTTATTTCCTCAATTATTTTTTATACTTTTAAGTAAAAAGTTTAACTCCTGAGTCTATTAGAAATTTATTTGAATATGAGAAATGACAGGAGAACTTAAACATTTTTTTTAATTCCAACTTGGTTATTTAATTTTTCTGGTAATATTTGCTTTCTCTACTGAATGTGGTTCTCCCTTTTCATATACAAAATTAGTAATTTTTAAAATTTTAGTTGTAGATGGATGCAATACCTTTCTCTTGTTTATTTAACTTTTTTTTTTAATTTTTTTTTTTTTTTAATGTGATGCTGGGGATCAACCCAGTACCTCATGCATGCTAGGCAAGTGCTCTACCACTGAGCCACAACCCCAACCCCCCCCAATCAGTAATTCTTGACACACATACAAATCACTTTTAGGCTTTCCTGTTTTGTGGATCCATTTCCCAATATATTTACTGGTATCAGAGTGTTTTTATTGTTGTTCCATTATATGTAGTTAACTTAATGGGCAGCTAAGACGAATAAGTTTTTTTATTTAATAAGGATAAAGAAAGGGGCTGGGGTTATGGCTCAGCAGTAGAGCGCTCGCCTCACATTTGCAAGGCCCTGGGGTTGATCCTCAGCACCACATAAAAATAAATAAATAAAATAAAGTTTAAAAAAAAAGGATAAAGAAAAGAAAGAAAGATCATATGTTAGAAATATTCCTCAGAATGATATTATGGTGATTTCCATTTTGGGAAAAAAGTGTTAAAGTTAGGTATAATTAGTTTTAAATACTGAATATATTAACCTTTCTGTATGTTTTATTAGTATAGAATATTGATCAAAATATAGCTAGTGCTATCTTAGCTTGCTGTCTATGCTTGTTTCATGTCTACTGTTTCTTAGTTTTATGAACTAGATTTAATTACTTGACCAGTTTCTCATCTTTAAAGTGGGGAAATAAAACTTACTGTGTAGGATTATGATGGTATATAAGGGCACACACACAAAAAAGTTAGCACAGTGTTTGACATATAGAAAGAACTCACTAAGAGTCAATTGCTATTTTATTAGTTATTGCTTAAAATATAATTCATATCTGATACAACTCTTTTTAGTCACCAAGCCATAAATATGGAGGAAGAAAATCTAGCTTCATTGTTTCCTTCCAAGTGTCTATTTAGTTGTCCAAACATCATTAATTAAATAAGCCATTTTTTTCCCCACAAATTTGATGTCACATCTGTCATGTTTAAAATTCACTGTTGAACCTGGGACCATTTGCAGATTTCTATTTTTTTATATTGTTTTCTTTATTCCTGTGTCAAACCGATGCTATTATAGAGGCCTTATTATAGTTTAAATGTGCTATTAAATTAGTCTCCCCATATTATTCCTCTTTCAGAATTTTTTTTTTCCTCAAAAGCACCTGAAAACCAATGTGTTAGATCTTTTCTACCCCCTCATCAAAATCTTGTTAGTATCTTGATTGGGTCCTATAAAATAGAGGTAAATTTAGTGAGAACAAAATTATATATTTTTTTACCTAAGATTGAATGGGATCTCCATACTCTTTCAACCCTTTTTTAATCCTTCCAGATTCTAGAACTATCTTTATATAGGCTCTAAGTATTTTTGTCAAACTTATTTTGAGGAATTTATATTTATATTTGTATTGTTATTATAAATATTACATAGAATAATTTGTTATAATGTCTTTGCTATTTTTCTGTATTAATTGAATGTTATATATGATATATAAAATTTAACTTTATTGTAATGTATTGCATATATGTAGAAGAGTATATGAAAACACATATGTACAATTTAAATATAAGATAACATCTGCACTCATCATCTAAACCAACAAATACTTTTAAAAGCCTCCTGATAACCCCACATTTTCATTCCCACCAACTGGAGGGGGTATAACCACTTTATTAAAAGTTGTATTTAGTATTTTTAAGTCTTTCCCCTATATTTTAAAATGTGCATATTTGCATCTCTTAGAAATTATTTAGTTTTGCATATTTTTGTATATTGTACAATGTAATGACTAAGTATATTTTTCTGTGAATGATTTCTTTAGGATAATGTTTTACTTTTACACTGTATCTGTGTTGTTTTACATAGCTATAGTTCCTTTTCACTACTGTGTACTATTTCATAGTATGAACAACTTATTTATCTATCCTATTGTTGTTGAACCATTTGGATTGTTTCCAGCCTTTTGCTGTTATAGTAACTATTATACTCTAATTGTTCTTGTACATATCTTCTGGTATACATAATGTAAGCTTCCATAGAGTACAACTGTATTAGTGGAATTTTGAGGACATTAATTTGTTTTATAACTTCCAGTTGTTTTCAGCTGATTTTATGACAGTCTTCAGATATGCAGCCTACCCTCTACAGAAAATCTGTGTGCTTTCACATCAGTGGTGTAAAGATCATGGATCTGCAATATCTTTTTTCAGGTTTACAGTTTTAATGGGAATGCCTTTAATGTTTTGTTTTTGGTTTTGAGATATGATCAGGAAGCATTCTTTCAGCATTCATTGAAATAATTATATGACTTTCTTATTTGACATTATTAAGAAGGTTTAAACTTAATAACTTTTCATTTTAACTCTTCCTTTATATTCTGGAATAAAGTATCAATTTATTATGCTCTAATATGCTTTAGTGTTGTAGGAAATTAAATTTACCAAAGATGACCACAATTATACTTTATCTTGTCCTTAATGTTCTTCTTGAAATGTGACTGATATTCTTCCCCACCAAAAGGCAGGGCCTGTGTCCCTTCCTCTCAGATCTGTCAGAGGCTTATGATTGGTTCAAACCATGGAGTTCAGTAGAAATGATGCAGTGTGAATTATGAGACTAAGTCATAAAAATAATGAACCTTTTCCTTGCTTTTCTCATGGGAAAATTTCTACCATGTTGAGAGATAGTCCAGGCTACATAAGAGAACCAAGTGGAGAGGAACTGAGACCCCCACATCAACAATCAGTAACAATTTGCCTGCCATGTGAGGGAACCATCGTGAAAGTGAATCCTCCCTCCAAGTCGAGATACTTGATGACTATTGATCTAGACAATAATTCACAACAATTTCATAAGAGATTTGAGCCAAAACTGCCTACCCACTCCTAAATTTCTGGCCTAGAGAATATGTTAGAGATAATAAATAATCATTCTTTTAAGCCTTTAACTGTTGGAATTGTTATATAGCAGTATGATAATTTATAATCTATAAGCGTTGCTGGATTTTACTTGCTTTATATATTATTTGATTTACCTATTGTAATGTTAATATTTTCCCCTAGAGAACTAGTTCTTGGATTCATTTAACAATGGCAAAAGTTTTCAAATTCCCATATTTTCTTGTGATTACTTTATTGCCTTTCCTTAACAGTTAAGTAGTGTTTCCATTACATATGGTATAATACTGGAATCCTGTTAATTTTTTCTTCATATAATTAATCATTTTTTGTAACACCATCTAGTGAAGAATCCATACTTTCCTCTTTGATTTATAATGCTACCTTCATTGTTAACATGTTTTCATAAAGAAGCATATTGGTTAGTGAGAGGCCTCTATTCTGTTATACTAATTCATTGTTCTCTTCTAATTTTGCTACTAGCCTTTGGTGGTATGTCATTCTCTAGTAAGGCAAATCTTCCCACTTGGTTTACTTCTCTATATGGACTTTTCCTTCCCTATAATTTTCAAGGAAAAAAAATTATATTGTGTTTCTCAAAAAAAATCCAACTGCAAATATTCTTGAATTGTATTGCATTTAAATCATCTCATTCAAGAGCATGGAAGCATGCTTCTCCTTTTATTCAGATAATCTTCCTTCTTCTCTTTGGAATTTGAAAGGATATAGTTTTTTATATTCTTGGTTCAACTGGTCTGTTTGTTGCTGTTGTGTATGAAATTTTACTTTCTAGTAGTTGATTGCTGATACAGTATGCTATTGTCTTATTGTAACTAGTAATTTTGCTGAATATTTAGTTTGTTTTATGTGCATTTTCATGGGTTTTCAAGATACATGTCTCTAAGTATGAAAATAATGACATTTGGTATTTTTGCTTCCAATCTTCATGCCCATTATTTCTTTTCCTTATAGTATTTACCAGAACTTCTAGTACTATGCAACAGTGATGGTGGTTATTCTTTTCTTGTTACTATTATAAAGAACTACCATTGAAATATCTCCATTAAGCCTATAGTTCTTAATATACACCTTTAACATTTTAGAGAGTTTAAAAATTTTTTTAGTTTGCTAAAAGCTTTTCTTAATACCATGTATAGTTGTTCAATTTAACAGAATTTATGTTACGTGATTTTCCTGAATTAGCTGAGATAATCATGATTGTCTTCTATAATACAGGAAATTATGTTTCCTTGCATACCTGGAATAAACTACACTTGATCATGATGTATTATTGATACATTACTTAATTCAATTAGCTAATATTTTATGTAGGAATTTTGTATATTTACAAATCTTCATTTCTAAAAACAGGAGATTAGACATTTAATTTTATGAACTAGCTGAACACTCCTGGAAAATTCTGGTATTTGAATCACATATGCAGCTAATAGAAGAATTATAAGATATTTGAGTAAATTCTTCAATTTTAAAGATAGAAATCAAGATGAATGTGCGGCAAACAGGGATTGAGTCTGAGGAAACATTATGTAGACAAGAGACTATAAACTCTAATTAATATTTCTAAAGTAATTAAAGAAGACATATCCACGAAACTCTTACTCTTAGAAAGATATTTAAAGCATCAATAAAGTGAGAAAGAATGCCAAGAAAAACAACCATGAGTATGAACATAATCTCATTGAAATTAAAATATAAAAATAAAAAATAAAAATTCAATGGAAAAGTTGAAGGTAAAATTGGGAAACTTTTTCGTATGATAGAATAAACAGACAGAAACAAATTATATAAGGGAAAATGGACAAAGCAAATACAGACTATCCAGGAGAATAATATATGACTAATAGGGGACTCAGTTTAAGTGCAGTCTTCTAGATTAAAGAAATCAAGAAAGGAATTTTGCAGAGAAACATGAGAACATTTCATAGAGTTGATGAGCAATCTGGATTGTAATGCTCACTGAATAATCAACAAAAAAGTCCCAAACCAAGGAATCAACAAAAGAAGATCCTAAAATATTTTTATAGAGGAAACAAAATATTACCTACAGATTCATTAGAATTTTTAAAAAATCAGTCTCAGAAGCAATGCTTATAACAATGAAGCAATTCTGAGGAAAAAAAAATTAGTCGACATTTCTGCACTCAGTTATGAGGGGTTAATGATGATTTCAATGTACTGTGATTCAAATGATCTGGGAATTTTTCCTAGTAATCCTGCTTGGAGATTCTCTTAAATGGTGTATATTGAGGAATACCTTGTCTGCTTCTCACTTTTGCCTTTTTCACTGGCAGTGAGCTTAATATTCATAGGTTTGTTTGCACTCATTTTGATGTGTTCCTCCAAAATGACAGAGTAAAATAAAGAATTATGGAATATTGAAAATTGAGCTTTAAAGAGTAGCCAGTCCAGATTAGAGCAAGAAGATAACATTTCCAAAATAAAAGGGTTGGGTAGGCTGAGACACTTGATAAAATAAATTATATAGAGCTTTTCAAAATAAGAATATGAGGATAGCAAATTTCTTAGAACAAAACAAATCATCCTTTCAAACAAACTTTATAATCATCGTCAAAATTATATAAGCACTGCATTGATTTAACTGAAAATAGTATGAAAATGATGAATAGAACTCTAGTATATAATTCATCATCTCATAGGAAGAAGTAAATAATATCTAAAATGATCACCCATGAAGCAATAATATAAGCAATATTGAGTAATATTATTGCACTTGGCAAATTATTCTTGTCTGAAGTGTATATGTGTGGGTCCCTTCTGGGCTGCCTTCTAGCTCTGTGATCATTGGAATTAATCTGTTTCAACCATTATTTACTATTTTGTAGTACAGAGATAATAATAGTATTTACAACATAGGATTGCTATGAGGACTAACTAAAATATAAGTCGAAGTCATTAGCTCATTGGTTGACAGACAAGAGCTATGTAAGTATTTCTTTTATAGTGATAATATTTGATATTTGGATACATTTTTAAGCCATTTGGCTACTTGTTATATCTTCCCTTACCTTTCTTGTTTTTCTTCCTTTTTTTGAAGTTCTTTCTTTTTCTATGTGGTTTGCCACTTATATTACCTACTAAATATCTTTTTCTTTGTTCATCCTCTCACTTAGATTTCTTCTGCCCCAAAAGCCTGATCTTTAACCAGATGGCAGTAACATTTGAAGATGTAACAATTATTTTTACTTGGGAAGAGTGGAAATTCCTGGATTCTTCTCAAAAAAATCTCTACTGGGAGGTTATGTGGGAGAACTACACAAATGTCATGTCATTAGGTAAAGTTATCCCAGCTCACAAGGAATTTAGAGCTTTCTAGAACCAATTTTGTTGAGTATTTCAGTTCTTTGTCTGAGTGCTTGTGTTGGTGTGATAGAAGAAATATTCACAAATATGTTTTAAGCCAGATGACAAATACAGTTTGAGTATCCCTCATGCAAAATGCTTGGGACCAAAAATGTTTTTTAGATTTTGGAATTTTTTGGATTTTGGAATATTTGTATGATCTTTTTTGTTTGAGCAATCCTAATCCAAAAATGCTCCAAAATATGAATTTTTTTGAGCATTATGTCAGCACTGGATATTGGAGTATTTCAGATTTTGAATGTTTGGATTAGGAATGCTCAACCTGTAAAATAGAAGGCAAAATATCTTCTAAAACATCTGGGTTATGCAATGACCTAGATATTTGTGATTATTATTTTTAATTATTTTCTATATTATTCTTAGAGCACAAATCTCATACATAGTAAGTTTTGTTTGTTCCTAAAGTTGTTTTTTGTCGTACTGTTTGTACAAATTGCCTTTTGTTATATAACAAACTATCCCAAACTTAGTGACTTAAGATAAAATTTATTATTTTTTCATGATTCCTCAATAGGAATCATGGATGATGTCTCATAGAGGGATTTTCTTGGGACTGGGTGATTTTAGGATAAGGCTGACTGGCCTAATTCATATGTCTGACAGTTGGCTCAAAATCACTAGGGATATTGGAGATACATTGGCTATATGTCCCTTTCTTCATGTGGTGGTGATGGTCGCAGAATTTTCAAAAGCAGCAAGAGAGAAGGCAAGCACTCTTCCAATTTCTGCTTTGGCACTTTAACTGTTATCCCAGTGAGCAGATTATATTACCAAGCCTAGACACAGTGTGGAAGGAGAGCACCCAAAGGCATAAGTAGAGTTAATGCAGCCATTTTTTTCCCACACAGTCTCCCACACTATTCTATAGCAGAAAAATAGAAACATATTTTACTTCTTATAATAATGTCCCAAATAAAGTAATGTAGTTAAGTTTAGTCTTCAAAACTATTTCTATGAAGCAGTTGGCCTTATTTTTTATTATAAATAGTACCTGATAAATTGTAAATTGATGCTCAAGGTATGTTTGTGAAATGAATGAATGAGCAAATGAATAAATATATACATGAATGTACAAAAATAAATAAATCTCTGACCCAAATGGAGCAGCCAAAGTCATACCCTTCATTCCTAGTCCTCTCCACACATATCTTCCTACCATTATGAAAGTCTTTGATTTAGATAATTGGAAAGCTTTAAGCACAACCTTCATATCATCACTAAAGTAACTGTTTATTCTTCTAGGAAACTTGAATGAGAGCTACAAGCCACAAGAGCAGCGATTCAAATACTTACAATATGGAAATTTTTCCTCCTTGCAGAGCTGGAGAAATGCTAGCACTCAGATATACGAGAATCAAAATTATAATGAAATCATTCAAGGGGTAGATTCCAAAAATGTAAAGCAACAAGATCTTTCCCAGTGTCAAGAGTGGTTAATTCTCTCCACACAAGTACCAGAGTATGGAAACTATGAACTGACCTTTGAAGGTGTAAGCCATAGGAACTTAAAATTTAGAAAGTTAAACCTTATACCTTATACCTTAGAAACCAAAACCACCCAAGACTTTAGTAGAGAAGATTACATGAATGATTCTCATGGTTTTCGAGGGGACGGAAACCATCTTGTCATATCTAGGAAAAATCTTTTTATAGAAAAAGACCAGAAATTCATAGCTCAGCATTCTTATATCTCAGTGGAAGAAGCCCTTCCAGTATATATTGGGGAGATATGCCAGTGTGACCTACTGAGAGACTCTGTGGAGGATAAATACTGTGTATGTAATAAATATAAAGAAATTCGTTATTGGAACTCACAGTGTGTTCTCCACAAGAGAAATCAACTTGGAGAAAACCTCTATCCATATTCCATTGGCACAGCATGCTTCTCTCAGAGATCAGATTTTTACAGATATCCAAGAATCCACATAAGTAAGAAGCTGTATGGATGTGATGAAGTTGGCAGTAACTTTAGTCATGGCTCAGGAGTTTACTTTCATCAGAGAGTCTTCACAGGGGATATACCTTATATATGTAATATATGTGGTAAGAGCTTCAGTCAGATTTCTTGTCTTCATAGTCATCAAAGTGTCCATACAGAAGAGAAACACTATAAATTTGAGTGTAATAAGGACCTCAGTACAAATTCACTATTTCACATTCATCAGAGTCTTCACACAGAAGAAAAACCCTTTAAGTGTGATCAGTGTGGTAAGAGTTTTAGTCGGAGTTCAGTACTTCATGTTCATCAGAGAGTCCACACTGGAGAAAAACCATATAAGTGTGATGAATGTGGTAAGGGCTTCAGTCAGAGCTCAAATCTTCGAATTCATCGGTTAGTACACACAGGAGAGAAGTCTTTTAAATGTGATGACTGTGGTAAGCGCTTTACTCAACGCTCAAATCTTCAAATTCATCAGAGAGTGCATACAGGAGAGAAGCCTTATAAATGTAGTGACTGTGGGAAAGACTTCAGCCACAGCTCAGATCTTCGCATTCACCAGAGGGTCCACACAGGAGAGAAACCTTATACCTGTCATGACTGTGGGAAGGGCTTTAGCAAGAGTTCAAAACTTCACACTCATCGAAGAATACACACTGGAGAGAAACCTTATAAATGTGAAGAGTGTGGTAAGGGATTCAGTCAGCGTTCACATCTTCTCATTCATCAGAGAGTTCATACAGGAGAAAAACCCTATAAATGTGCTGATTGCGGGAAGGGCTTTAGTCACAGCTCTAATCTTCACATCCACCAGAGGGTCCACACTGGAGAGAAGCCTTATCAATGTGCAAAGTGTGGTAAGGGTTTCAGTCATAGCTCAGCACTTCGAATTCATCAAAGAGTCCACGTGGGAGAGAAAACTTATAAATGCCATGAGTATTATAAAGGGTTTGATCAGAATTCACATCTTCACAATAATCACAGAGAAACTGTATAAATCTTGTTTATTAATAGCTTCAAGTAAAGCTTAATCATTAAACTCAATAAATGCTGCTGGAAAACAAATCCTGTAATTAAAACAAAATTCTAAACAAAAGTACTTTCCCCTCCTACCTCAAGAGGCAATTCTTAGGAGAATTACTATTTATTTAAAATTAAATGTAATTTCTTTACTATACAATACATAATTATTACAAAATATATATTAAAATTTAAGGAAAGATTTTTTTTGCATCCTGTTGTGTTCTAGTCTTTTTTCCAGTGCATTTTAGTGTTTATGAAATCAAACTGAATGTCCAACTTGTATTTTCACTAACTTCAAAATGCTTTTAATTTTTGTTTCAAAGCATTTCATTTTGGTTTTAATTGAAACTGGCTAGTCATCTTTGAAAGAACATCTCTTGACATCCTTAGAAAGTCTTTGGGAAGCCACAAAAAAGATGGAATTTGCAAAAGTTGAAATTCAAACTGGTATTGTTCAAATATGGACAAATAAACTATTGTAGAATTCAATTGCATGCAACGAAACCAACCTGATAAAAGATGAGAAAACATTATATGTCCCTGTATCTAAGATAATAGATACATTGGAGATGTTATCACTGTCATCCAGAAAACTCAGGAACCATTCTTCTGTTGCTAGGGTGCTGCACTTTGAGGTAACCACTTCTCCCCAGGTTTCCACATTCATTCATAGGCTCAGAGACCAAGTAGATTTAGATTCCCTAAGAAAGGTATGGATGAAAGTTAATAGTGAATTCTAGAAACTAAAGATCATCTATTGGTTGAGAAATAGAGATTCAAGCAATAGAATTTAACTTCAGTAGAACAGAATGGTAATATGGAAATATCTGCTTGGAACAGAATTGAACTCAGCTGTGTAACAGCTAATTGTGTAACAAGAGAGTTGGCCATTATGTGTCATAGAGTTAGGAATACTCAAATCCTATTTTGGTCAGCTTTTCACTGCTATGACCAAAAGACCTGACAAGAACAAATAGAGGAGGAAAAGTTTATTTGGGGGCTCACAGTTTTCATCGGTCTTAATGCATTCCTTAGGGTGTGACCATGGTGGAAAGGTGCCAGAAGAAAACAGCTGGACACATAGTACCAGGTAGCAGAGAGAGAGTCCACTCTCCAGGGACAAAATATATACCCTTAAGGCACACCCCCGGTGACCCATCTCCAGCCATACTCTACCTGCCTTCAGTTATCTTAGTCCCTATTAGATTAATTCACTGATTGGGTTAAGGCTCTCAACCCAATCATTTCATCTCTAAACTTTTTTGCATTGTGTCACATACACTTTTGAGGGACATCTAATATTTAAACCACAAGTCCTAACTATTGATGCATAGTTATGTTTAGATATTACTTCCTAAGAAAAAATGGACCTGTTTAGGAAAATAAGGAGGAATTGTAATATCAAAGAAAGGAATATCATCCTGAAGACTTAGAAGCCTAAAACCTTGAAAATTGGCTCTATCAGGTTCCAGAACAGAATTTCATAAAAATTGGTATCCTCAGTATCATAACAAAAATATCAATAAAACTAGAGTAGAACTCAGTAAGTAAAGAAGAGAAATAGACAACAAGAAGGTCTTCAGAGAAATTTAAAATTCTGTATGAAAGTAAAGGCTATGAGCAGAATGAACATTGTAGAACATCAAGTAATGTAATGAATAAATGAAAAGGATAATGTGATAGAAACAATGAGAAAAGACATGAAGATTAGGGAATACAATGTAAGGATTAAAGTTTCTAAGGAAGGTAAAAGAACACTTGGGTGCATCTGTAATCTCAACTGTTGAGGAAGCAGGCAGGAGAATAGTGAGTTCGAGGCCAGGGAAACATTAAAAACAGAATCAGTCACCAAAGAAATTAATTTTTCCTGATTTAAAAATATATGTTCACTAGATTTTAGGCAAAAATGTTTTTAAAAACAATCGTAGAAACAGCTTAGAAAAAGTATGCAGAATGAAAAATTCTGGTGATCTACAAAATCAAAAAGGGAACATGAATAAAGATCTTTGCAACAGTAACTCAAAAAAGCAAGGGACTAGCATTTTCAGAATTCTGAGATTAAAAACGACAAAATTTTTATCAACAAATCATATATATATATGCATATATATATATAAACTATAAGCAAGAAACAAAGTGTACTATATACTTGCCTTTCTTAGAGTTCAAATGTGGAAATCATGGTATAAAAGGATTGGTGATGACTTCTGAAATCAGTTAAACTTGCAGTTATGGCTGAATAGTTAAATTGTTTACAAAACTTAAAATATTAAATAGATGTGCAGGAAAATATACAAATACTAAGTATAAAAGCAGAATATATATAAAAGTCTGTAGGGAAGAGTAAGGTTGTCAGATAAGATGCAGGTGACTTAGTTAAGTTTGAATTTCAAATAAGTATATACATTTTAATTATTTTTAAGTATGTCCCAAGTACTTATACTAAAATTTTATTTTTGAAATTCAAATTCACCAGGTTCTTCTGTTTCTGTTTGCTAAATCTGACAACTTTGGGAAGAGATAGCAAAAGAAAGTATGATACACTTATAATCTTAAATATCAGAAAACTCCATGGCATTTTCTTCTTGATTTTAACAATTCAAGGGAACATATTTTGGCAAAAACTTAGAAAAATGCATCTAATTGAACTAAAACATACCTTTCATAACAATGGGTAAGATAAAAAAATATTTAGCCCCTATGTCAAAGACAATACAAAAGAACTCAAGAAATTGGCATTAAAAAATAAGAGACTGAGGGACTGGGGATGTGGCTCAAGCGGTAGCGCACTCCCCTGGCATGCGTGCGGCCCAGGTTTGATCCTCAGCACCACATACAAACAAAGATGTTGTGTCTGCCAAAAACTAAAAAATAAATATTAAAAAAAAATAAGAGGCTGAAACAAGATAAAGGCTCAATTTCTTAAAATAGGTTAAATGCCTTATTAAAAGTCCTTTAAAATATTTTATTTATTTATTGTTTTATGTAGTGCTGAGGATTGAACCAAGTGCCTCACGTGCTATGTAAGCACTCTGCCACTGAGCTACAACCCTAGTCCCTAAAAAGTTTCAAAAATACTGATTGGATTAAAATTTTGATTGTATATTATTTAAAATGGAAAAGCAAAATAATACTCATTAAATATAAAAGACTGATGGTAATAGGCAAACTAAAAGGATTGTCTATGTTTTTAAAATATTTAAAAATATAATTAACCCATCAAAGTAGGCTAAATATGCAAAATAACTACTTTTCTAAACTCTTGCAAAAAATCAAAAAAAAATATGAGTGGGAAATGTCTTTGTAATGCCACTAAATTTTTTAAGGGATCAAATTAAAATGTGGAATAATATTAATAAGATTAATGAAAATTAACAAGGACATAAAAAAAATGTTAAAATTTTTCTAGAGGGAATGTTCCCAAGTTAATTTATAGATTTGTTCCAAATCGCAAAAGAGAATTTTGGTGAGGTTTTAAATGTAAAATTCTAGCACTTAGGAAAAAAAAAAGAGGCATTGGAGAAAAGAGAAAATAATTATAAGATAAATGAGATTGCCCTAACATATAATAAGTTGCATGTTGACATTGTAGTGGAGAACGTGATTATATATTTGAAAAAATTTAGAATCTGAGTCACTTAATAGTTTAGAAATATACTAGTATGTGGATTACATATTGTATATAATATACTTAGAAAATATGCACATATACTTCACATATAATGAAGATCTATGAATAGAAGGAGGATTGTTCAATAAATGGTGGTACTCAGATAATAACTCTTGGGTAAAAAACAAAATTAGGCCTTTATCTCGTGATCTAAATCATAAAACACATGTTGGTGAAAGCACAAGTTTTCAATTCCTGTTCCCTGTACAGGAATTTAACTACATAAGAATTTTAAAAGGGGGGGGGAAATTATGGAAACCAGACAAAAAAGAAGAAAAATATTTGCCATGATGATGAAAGTATGAATATGAATTAATCAAATGAGTACAAAGCTTAAAAATTTACAAAGAACATGAAACAAGGAAACATTATTACTATTATTAGTTGTTGATAGACCTTTATTTTATTTATTTATATGTAGTGCTGAGAATCAAACTGAGTGCCTCACACATGCCAGGCAAGTACACTACTGCTGAGACCCAGCCCCGAAACATTACTTTTAATAACAAAAACAATAGATATTTTCAGTAAAAGTATGGAGTGATATATGCTTATATACCACGGGTGTTGAAGGTAAATTGTTATAGACTTTTGGGGAAAGTTATTTGGCCAACAATGTGCTTTAAGTATGTTACTACTTTTTGCTACATAATTCCATACCTAGGAATGATACCACTGTTGGGGAACTTCTAATTGTAAAGAACACAGGTCCACTCAAGTTATACAATGTAATAAATAGGGTTATATTACATCACATAATAGTAGAATCTCACAGAAAAATTCCAAGGACAAAAACTTCAGCATGGGAACCACGCTAGAAAGCCATTAGACAATGAAGCTACTCTTCCATTATCTTATTATTTTTTTCTTTTCTCTTTTGGACCTCCTCTCTCTTCTCTCTACAGGTTGATTTATTTATTCACTTTATGCATGATTTCTAATTGCCATTCACTTCTGAAGATCATTTTCCCCCATTTCCTTGTCCTCTACTAACCTGTCATCTCCCCCCCCCACACCCTTGCAGTGTATATTCAAATTTCTGAAAGGTAGAAGTTAATTAGCTTATAAAGGTTACTTTTAAACAAGCCTTTGAGACCAGGCTAAGCCATAGGGTACTGGTAAACCTTGGGCTTGGCTAGCATTCCATCAGATATCCACTTTGGTCTCTTCAGAAATGGCCAGGGATGATGGAAAGCATATAACATCATTGTTAAGGGCTGATGTACAAATAGATTTCTTTAGAAGGTAGAGGATTTGAGCCAAACATTCTCAATTATATTAGAACACATACGAAGATAGTTTTTCAATATACTTATTGTAGCATTTTTAATATTCCCCACCCACTAATATCATTTTTTGTCTCAAGATCCTTGTTTTAATAACATCTGTGAAGTCCCTTTCTTTCAGATTTATACTGTATAATCAAAGTCTTTTTGTCATTTGTAGTACGTAGTTTATAAAGTCTTGTTGGGGAGTCTAAAGTCTCATTCCTACAACTTTATTTCACACAATACCTTATAGTTCTTTTCCTTATTCTAGA